CCAGGCCTTCAGCAGTTGCTCAGGCAAAGCCTAGCGTGTCCCCAGCCCCTGGCCTGCTGACACCTGAGCCGTGGGCATGAGCAAGGTCCCTGATGTCTTGTACTGGCTTTGTCCTCCTGTCTGAAGAGACCCAAGGGAACCTGACACAGAAGAAAGGTTTTGTGGTGGTTTAGGGTCACAGATACACTACTATCAGGCTACTGGGAGGCGAAACACCCAGGACAACCCAGAGAAGTCACTGAGGGGCTTGAGCTACCCCACTTGGTATCAGCTTCTGAACATGCAGGTTCAGAATCTCACCTCCAACCAAATTGCCTGGGTGGAGGTTTCCSACCTCCACAGGGTAAAAGAATTTTGAATGAGAAGGAAGAAGAAGAAGGAAGAGGAGGAGGAGGAGAAGTCATTGTTGTCTTAGCATTCTAAAACATAAGCAAAATTGAGAAAAAAGGAACTTAACAGCTATTTTCCCCCATTAAGCAACTGCTCTATCATTTAAACACTTGGATTAATGAGAAGTTCATTATTCCACATCATTGGCCAGTCTTAGTACAATATTAAAATTTCAAGTGTAYAGTCAGATACATTCTCTACTCTTACTGAAGGGCCATGAATCAGCCTTCTTTATAGATATGAATTAACTTTTAATCTGAAATCATTCAGAGAGAGTATAGCAATATTTACTGAATAAAATCTTCAAAGTTAGCCTAGCTATGAGTGTTGATGCTACATTACATACAATCAAAGTCTACTGCATTCCAACTTTTTCATTCATTTAATTCATTTTATGTATCTTAGTGCTTCGTTTTTCTCATTCCACTTTGCTCAGTTGTTTTTATTTTTCTTTATGAAATATCGTACAACCTGCAGTTGCATTGTATACCAATCGCCTGAAGCCCTCCAGGTTTATACCTCATTATTTCAACATAATGTTGTTTTTGTTTTGTTTTGTTTTGTACCAGGGATTGAATCCAGGGGCATTCAACCACTGAGCCACATCCCCAACCTTTTTTATGCTTTATTTTGAGACAGGGTCTCACTAAGTTGCTTATGGCCTCGCTAAGTTGCTGAGGCTGGCTTTGAGCTCTCAATCTTCCTGCCTCAGCCTCCAGAGCCCCTGGGATTACAGGTGTGCACCACCATGTCTGGCACAACATAATTTTAATAGCACCTTTTCCCTCTCAAAAGTGTCCTAATTTAGAAGAAAAAATTATGTTCAAGGGTTATACTTCAAAGTTTAAAATATTTTATCATATTTTCTTTAATTGGGCTGAAAACTCCACAATTTCAGATTGGAATCCCCTTGCCCTTCACTTCCCATCTTCTCAGTTAGTGAGATTTACCTTCGTTTGAAATGACCGATCTTGACTATGGAATATTTTTAATAAAATTAGTAGCCGCTCTGTGCTGGAGAAGCACCTCCACAGAGTGGCCACAACCTGGTTCTCTGCATGGACGGAGTGGTCCACCGCCAAGAACTGTCACTTTCATTAAGACATTGAAAGCCACGGAGACCCTTCCCAAGACAGGCACAATGTGTACAGGAAAGGTGCCCTCCCGGGGAGAGCATTCTCTCTACTCGACCATGCTTCTTTAATCCCTGGTGCCTCAGCTTCTGTACCACAGAGGAGCACAACAATGTCCACTTCACAGGGCTGACAAACAGAAGAAAAGGGATGACGGCCACAGGGCACTCTCAGCCACCAGGAACAAAGACACTGAGCAACCGCGAAATGTTCAGTTCTGCTTTGGCAGTGTGCAGGGAAAGACTCCGGCTGACTTGAAAGGGAGCCCCCCAGGAAGACAGGGGAGCCCACAGGAGGACAGGGCCTGGCCACGGGCGTCGTTAGCATTGTCAGAAAGCGCACTGAGGGGAAGAGCCACAAAGGAGGCCAAGAGCTCCGGGGGCAGGAAAACAAGACCCAGAAAAAGACCTCCCCAACGACTACAAAAGAAAAGCTGAACGTCTTGAGTTAAAAATAACCTGTGAAACCCTATGCCAGGGACGGGTTTTAAGGAACCATCTATATGTTCTCGGATTACTTGATATAATAGCACACTCAGGTACTTTTACACTGGAAGGTGCCCGGATCCCTCATGCTGTCTGTCCTCTTTACATTCTCCTCTGATCTAAGAGCCTAATGGTAGCTCAGTGGTCACCTGCAGAGTGGACCAAACTTAAAAGCTCCTATTTAGACAGCGTTCATAAGGTGCATTCAAATGATCTACCACTAGGTCATGAAATCATTCTTGGTGAGAGCACTTTGGCATTAACTGTGGAGACCGCCAAAGCCGAAGAATGAGTGTGGATGAGCATGAAGAACCATGGTGCTCTGGTCAGCTCACAGGCGGGGAGATGTAAGACACAGGCCTGTACATTATTAATACTTGCTACTCAAATCAAATGGGGAAAAATCGTAATCATCGTAGGAGACGTCACTCCAGACAGTGTTTTCCCGGCAAAAGCTGCATCTCAAGAGTCCTTCAGAGCACTCTGGGAATGCATGGGGGTTTACAAATCAATCTGCTAAATTGCCTTGGCAGGGAATCGTGCTTCTGTGTATGGGCTGAAAGGCACTGCTGAATCTGCTAAGCCCTCCCAGTGAACTTTCTAGAAGAGGCTACATAAGCCCTGCAGCCTTGCAAGGTGCTGGCAGGATGAAATGCCAAGTACATCTCAAAGAGTCAAATACTGTGTTCGTTTGAACTTTATGGTACAGCTATAAACAACCCAGAAGGACAGAAGTCCTCCTCAAAAGCCATCCACTCCCTCGCCACTGTAGGCCAGGTGGACAGGGACATAAAAAGAGAATGATTCTGGAAAGGCGAACATGAAATGCTTGCATATACTTAGCCAAAATAGGGACCTTAATTTAAGCATCTGCAAGAGCCAAACTGCAATTCTAAAGAAGGAATTCTTAGATGTCAAACGTATTCTATCTTATGATCTGCATAATCCTGCCCTTTACATGCTGTTAACTTGTAGGAATTCTGTGCGTGATTCGGCCCTTCTCAAACCACACACATTGGCCATTCACAGTGAGCTCCCCAGGGCTGATCCACCAGGTGAGCCTCTGATCCTGGAGGGTGGAGGCAGAGCAAAGGGCTCAGAGCCAGAAAGGCTCAGTGTGCAGCCAGCAGCCTTTCCCCTAGGAAAACTGAGGGCTTGGAGTAACTTGMTACCCAAAGTCAGACCATGAATGCTGTGGGCTAGGATTTTTAGTAAGTCTCTACAAACCAAATTGGACAGCAAAAAGCAAGGGAAATCTTCATTCTCTGATAGTTACAGTTACATCATGTCATTAGCCTGTCCTCCAGGAAGGAGTTGCACCAATAATAGAAGCTCATAAGATAGGTCAATGTCACTTCACATTTCCCAAAAAGTCACGGAACCTCATTTCTAACATGTCTGGGGATGGCAAATCTGAAAGGCTAAAAAAAAAAAAAAAAAAAATCATCAAAAGAACACTTTGAACATTGACACATGGGACATTTGTGTCCCATGGTAACAGACACGGACAGGATACGAAAGTGGGAAGATCAGATATTTCCACACACGTTACAGTGTCCATTATGCCTTCTACAAAATCAGATTGTCCATTTAAGTTCTGCATGTACTGATTTTTAATCACTGCTCAGCACATTTTAAAGGGTGATTGCTCATCCAGGCAGGATTTGCTGGCAGGTGGCACTAGGCCTTGCTTCACGGCTCTCCCACAGTTAATCCTAACTGGTAGCCAGGTTTGATTCTGTCTCAGGGAATAGGGATTCCATCTTGGGGATTCTCCATGTGCTCATTTCGGGACTGGCTGTTTTGAGGCCCATCTCCAGGTCAAACCCACTTCAGTACAGTTGTGCAGGACACCCAAGATTAGAGTGGGACAGAAGTTAGGAGAGGCATGAAGTCAGAGGACTTCAAGATTTTAGGACAGGAGAGGTCACAGAACCTGTCTGAAGGCTGAGGGAGCCAAGCCAGGGAGACTCTGGATGTCCAGCTGAATTCCAGGGGACAGAGGTGCCATCCCCAAGGGGCCCCAAGGCACTGTTGGAAAGAAGAGAAATGGAGGCCAGAAGGACCAAAGGAAGCCAGTGTGAACAAGGGAAGGAAGAGGGAGAAAGGGAGGGAGAGAGGAAGGGAAGCAGGACAGAAAGCTCAGGAACAGAGACATTGCAGAGGAAAMCCCGGAGATGCTGGAGACAAGGAAACAGGGTCTAGAGGGAGTTTGCCAAAAGGTGTAGAGTCTAACTGGAGAGTTCTGCTCAGCCCATAAGTGGACATTGTGGGTATGCAGTCAGGGATTGGACTTTGTTCTGCTTAAACCATTTTACATTAATGTTTTCTTCTAAAGAATGTTCTTATCGGGCTCAGTGGTGCTCGCCTATAATCCCAGCCGCTCAGGAGGCTGAGGCAGGAGGATGGCTCGAGTTCAAAGCCAGCCTCAGCAACAATGAGGTGCTAAGCAACTCAGTGAGACCCTGTCTCTAAATAAAATAAAAAATAGGGCTAGAGATGTGGCTCAGTGGTCAAGTGCCCCTGAATTCAATTCCCAGTACCCTGCCCCCAAAAATGTTCTCAGTAGATGGAAAAGAAAGAGTTCATCCAATTAGATTGACTTTTGTGGAATAACAACTTAAAATTACTTGAATCCCAGCCTTTTACAAAGATATACATCCGTGTGGGGAAAAAAACCCTTCCTCACAAAGAAAATCTCAAACACTAAATTAGCAGGTTAATTCACAGTGTGGACGAAAGAAATAGCAAATACACAATTTGATATTTGGGTTGTTGAAGTGAGAAAAGAAAGCACGCTAGATTCTATAGAATAAGCATTCCCTATCCCAGAAATTACTAAGAACTTGAGAGTTTTCTTTCTTGGCTGTAAGGACTTGTAAACATCTAGAAGAGCCCAGATTTTGAAGCCCCGAGGACACTTGCTAAAACTAAGAAAGTTGGCAGTAGGTTTGCACACAATTTGGGTTTTCTTTCAGAGTTGATATCTTACCAAATACAGCCATCTGTGTTCCCTCTGGGAAAGGTTCAACTGTCCTGTTGCCATTGACATGATGTTTGGCTAGAGAAAGAAAGAAAKAAATGCAAGTTTAAGTGTAAAGTTCTACACACTTACTAACACATGTCATTAAATGTGTCAATGAGCCTATTTCTCATTTTGAGTTAGAAGCACACCAAAGCTTACCCTCCCCAGAGAGTTTTGGTTATCTTGTTTTTAATCTTAGTCACAGCAGAACCTAGACATCCTGTAGTCTAGGGAAGACATTTTGCAAACAAGCATGCCAAGGCCCAAGCTCCTGCAGGGCCGGACAGCCTGAAAGTGCCTGACCCCTGGCCAGCAGGTCCCCAGGGTGTTTGGTTTCCCCGGACAACAATCACAAGGTTGTCACGATCTACATTTAAGTGAGATGTAAAATGAGCGAGGTAACACTGGGCCCAATTTTTCAGGAAACATAATAGCGGTCATGTCATCTCACTACAAATCAAGCTCTGTTCCAGGAGACCAAAGGCATTACCAGCCTTCTTAAGGACCACGTGGATATTTCCATGCCTCCCACTGTCCCTTCATCCCCCTGGTCCCCACCACCAACCATCCTTCTTGCACTGGTGCATAGCAAGGACTGACTCAGAAATAAAAAGAAATCAGGTTCGAGGTTTCCAGCATTAACTTGTTCTCACGACTCCAAACAGAGAATACTGGAGTACCACCATCTAGGAGGATTTTAATAGTAGCCTCAGCTCTTTTTGAATACAGCATTTAGGTAGGAAATACAAGAGAGGAACAGCTACACTGCTTCCACACATGCATTGCAGTTTAAGGGGTCACCTTAGGCTTGCTGAGCGATGGAGAAGGACTCAGCACTGAAGTGAGGCTCCTAGAAGTATGACATGGCTGCTGCCCTCGAGGACAGTAGCTACCTTAGAGGCAAACATTTCAAAAAGAAACGTGACAGGAAGCTTATGATTCAGCACAGTCCTGGGGTGTGGACTCGGGAGTGGGAGGAGCTCATGGGGAGGGGAGCAGGCTGGGGAATGGGTGCAGGAGGCAAGAGGAGAGCCACTCAGGTAGGAGACAGAGGGCTGGGCAGAGGGTGGGCCAGGATGTGAGCAAGGACCAGAGGACCTCCTGAGCCAGGGAACAGGATAGCCTGGCTATGGTTCAGGGTTACGCTGGGAAGCAAGGGTGACCAAGGACGGACCAGGGCTGGATCCAAACATGGGGGACCCTCTTCAGCTCGGCACAAGTGCTTTAGACCCCGCAGGCTCAGTTCACACGCCCCTCCGGACTCCACCAGTTCTTCAGGCACTTCCACAGCTTCCTTGTGAGTAACTGGGGTGTGATCCTAAGAGCATGAAGCCCCGGGAAAAGGAAAGCGCAGTGCAGGTTCAGAGTGCAAGTCCTGGGCTGCGCAGCCTGCCTGAGGTCCTCAGCTGCGCACACTGCAGAGTCACGGTGGAAGGTCCCAGGTGACTTGTCAAGCACTCACTAATGCAGTTAGGACCACTGTCACTGAACTCCAAGGAACACGAGGAGCTACTGAGCAGAGGTCCAAGTTCTGCCTTCTGGTTAGACCCCCCACGGCACCCACCAGTGGTTCTGAAAGGGTATCTTTACCCACTCAGGACTCAGGGACCCATTCAACCCTCTAACCCACCWCGCCCACTTTAAAGAACTGAACCTAAGGAAAAATGCAGGAGGAAAAACAGGTGCCACTTGCAACAATATGCATTTGAAGTCTAACTTGTGACAATGAAATCTTAAAATCAACTAAATGCTTAAAAATTGCCATTCATGATTTTTCAAACGAATGGAATACTACACAACATAGTTTAAATACCACCATGGAAGCTTTGTAGAAATGAAGGAAAACWTTTGGATATTGATAAGGGAAAATAATTCTATTATGCCTTTTATGTAGATTATAATGACAACTAAATGAAATATGAATGACATCAGAAAAGATGGGCAGAAAAACATGCAAAACGAAAACAAGAAGATTGTGCAAGGTATTTATTTTTATTTTTATTCATTTCCTTTGACACTGGTATGTTATTTACTTAATGTCTTGGGAAAAAACATGTTTAAATTTCAAAAATCAACAAAGCTATAAACTTCTACATCTTCCCTTAGGAGTTGGTTCCCCGGACAGCRAGGCTCTTCTGTGGCCCGAGTGAAACACTGAAGTGTTCATCAAAAAGTGCAGCCCCTCTGAYACCTGCGTGGGCCACCTGGGCAGCACAGAGGACTGCCCGCCATGCAGAGCTGAGTCCCCTCCACACCCCTGCGTTGGGGACAGACCCACCATCTCTTATTCCTTGTCAGCAGCGATGCCCTTCTCCTCAGTGCCCACATCCAAGCCACCCAATCCTAGCTGATTTCACCTCCTCTACCTCTTTAGAGTCCCTTTCCTCTACCCGTCACCACCCAAGCCACTCCTGTTCTGCCATCATGACCTCCTTATCTGGACCTCGACAATGGCCTCCTAACCTTTGCAGATCCCTCTTTCCAATCACTCTTCTCAAAGCAGCCACAACTGCCCTGCAACATGGAACAAACCTAATTATGGCACAACCCCCCCCCAATGCCCTCCCCACCTTCCACTTCCCACTAGTCCTAGGCTACAACTCTTTAGCATGGCTTCCAGGACCTRCACGGACTGACTATCACCTTGGCCCCTCATCCTTCTCCTAGTGCCCCCCTGAAACCCTGGTTCAAGCTTCTCCTCTGCCTGCTTGCCAGGGCTGCACTTTACACTCACGTCACTATTTGGACAAAGGCCATACCAATGAGTGGACCGTGAGCTCAGGGAGGGCCGGGTTCTTCCTGTGGCTCATTCCAGGACCTGGGATCCCAGCCGGTACCCACAGGGAGCAGGTGTGCAGTCAGGATTTGTTAGTAAATGAGGCCACTGGTATCTATAAGTCTCTCTTCCGCCATTATGAAAGATTTATTTGACGTTTCACTTGTTGACAGGGTACGTTCCAAGAGACGGGTTGGTAAGCGGTTTCCATCACTGGGCGCACACCGAACATGGCAGAGTGCACTTACACAAACCAGACAGCAATGATGTCACTCGTGGCCTCATTTTATGGGCACACCATTGTATACGCAGTCTGTCGCCACTTGAAAGTTAGTCTGTGGCATGTGACTAGACGCAACGTCCTTTATGTGTACAAGTGTCTCATTTATAAAAATGAACATTGAAAATGGGCACTAAGAAATAGCCTCACAGCAGGTGGAGACCAGGGAGTCCCCTGTCCCTCCCTTAAGGCCCCAGCTGCTCCCTTTCCATCCACCCACTCTGCTGAAGAGTGGACGGTGGACGTGGAGGTGGACGTGGAGGTGGAGGTGGAGGTGGAGGCGGAGGTGGGAGCAGGGAAATGCTCACGCTGGGGAAGGAGGTGTGTCGCCGCCCCTCCTTTACAGAGCCCAGGCCCTGTAAACTGGAGTTTGCACTTTCCTCTGAAGCACAGCTGCGTCTTGCGTCAGCCCAGTGGCAGCTGGCTGGGCATTAGCAAGCCAGTGACAGCCTGGGTTCTGGGACAAGATTGCCTGACTTTGAACCTCTCCCAGYCCTGGTATGTGACCTTGTCTTAGTCACGTAACTTTCTGTGCCTCTGTTTTCTATTGTGAGCATTTCTTCATTGTATTTTTCCCACTTGTACCTACCTTGTGGGTGGTTTTGTGAATGAAATGATTTTAAAATGTAAAGCCCAACACTCAGCATATGGCACATAACCTTGAGGCTGGTATCATCATCTGTGGGTGAACTTTCTGTTCACAGCAAGATCTGAGTCAGGCATGGGACAGCTGCCTCCATATCCATGCTCGTGGCAGACAGCACTAATCAACCACAGCATCCTTTCATTATCCCCAAATGCGATCACAAAATCCTTTCCCCACTTAACACTCCACAGAGCTTCTTGCCATTTAGGGATAGAAAAAGAAATGAAATCACCTTGTAACTCTTCGTCTAAGTGAAAAAACCAGAAAGATGGAACAAAGAAAGAAGCCATTTCCTCCGCATTTCTGCATGACAAGTTGCAATAAAACCCTCTTAAACCCCATACAGCAGCGCCCCCTTATCACTGGGCACAGCCCCAAGTGGGTGCCTGAAGCAACAGACAGCACTGGACCCTGAAGATACCAGGCTTTCTCCTACAGCACCAGAGGCCATCTGTCCTTCCATGATCCGTGCCCTGGCGCCCATGTGCCTCTCTGCTCATGCCCTCTGGGGCGGGAATAAAATCCAGGCTCCTGGAGCACAAGCACTGCGGTACCACAGCGGCCGGCCTCATGACCAAGACGGCTGCRAAGTGGTCAAGGGTGGGAAGCATAGGCAACATGGACACACCAGACAAAGGGACGACACATGCCCAGGCAAAACAGAGCAGGGTGGTGGCACACAATTTGAATGAATGAATGATTTATTTCTGAATTTTTCATTTCATATTTTTGGATCACAGTTGATCAAGTAACTAAAACCTTGAAAAGTGAGGCTTTGGATAAGGGGGATTACTATATAGAGCTTTAGAGATAAAAGAATAAGGAGGACGCTGAGGCTACCTTCCACCCTGTGAAAGAAAGTTCTTAAAATCCAGCAATGGCACTTCTAATCCTGGAAACCAAGGCTGAATCTCTCAAGGCATTTTCCCATTGACATTCTAAGGCACGTATTTGAGGGCCAAAGAACCAGAGATCCTTTAAATACCTTATATAGGTCAAGCAAGATTCAGGAGAAGGGTGGGCATATGTAAATGCCAGCATTTATATAAATTTCTGTTTCAGAATTAGTGACATTCTTTATCACAGAAGCAATCGCGTTCACTAAACAGAGAAGCCATTCAGTGGCTGGGTCCTAACTATGGTTGCCAGCAGGGTATAACATGAAGACAGGAGGGTCTGACAGGCAGGGACATCTGTTGTCCAGTCACTGCAGGTAGAGGCCTCCAATCTGACTGGCTGGGTGCATGTCCCTGCCCTTGCTCTCTGCTCTCTTGGGGCACATTCCAAAGCCACATGCTCCACGAGGACAGCCTCTGTTGGTGGTGACAATTYGT